CTTGGTAGACTTTTGATGTCATATTAAATTTCATTGCTTGAAATTGATCTAATTAATTTTTCTATATCTTCCTGATTCAGTTTGGGCAGGTCTTTTGTCTCTAGAAATTTGTTGATGTCATCAAAATTTGCTATTTTATTAGCATATAAATTTGCAAAATAGTTTATGATTATCAACTACATTTCAGTAGTGTCCATTGTGCTATTTACTTTTTCACTGTGAACTTTTGAAATTTGAGTTTTCTCTGTCATTCTCTTCATTAGTTTTGCTAAGGGTTTATCAATTCTATTTATGATTCAAAGAACAAACTTTTATTTTGTCAATTTTTGGATTATTTCTTTTGTTTTATTTTCACTGATTTCATCTCTAGTTTTAATTTGTTTCCTGTCTTCTACTGCTTTGGGTGTTGATTTGTTCTTCTTTTGAAAGCAAGAATGTGATAGCTTTAATAGTAAGGGGTGAGGATAGAGCACCCAACTTACCTTAGGGGGCTTTACACCTGTCATTATAACCTTCGTTATGGATGAAAAAAAACTATGAAACAAATGTTGAACTATAAACAACAATTTAATTAGAAGAAAAATGAGAAAAGGAAGGAAGACAGGAATGAAGAAAGGAAAATCTCATCTTCCATTAAAGGATGGAAACAACAAAAAATATATAAAAATGAAATACCTACTTTCATAATTTATATGGTACTATATAATCATATCATAAGTATTCAATTAATTATATGTAGAATGATACATGGCATTAAAAATGCAGCAAGAATTTCATTGTAAAGGCCCATAAACAGATCATGGAATCCTGACACAGGAAGAAAATCATCTCAGTTATGAGGCTTGTTTTTGCAATAATTCAAGATATTTATGACATTGTCTGTGGTGTATTAGTGAGATAATATGACTATGCAATGCCTGTGGTTTTCCCCACCCAACACCAAGGGTTTATAAAAGGCTGCTGGCAGTGACATCCAGACTGAAGACACCTACATCCTGATCCTGAACTGAACACTCCACTCCTGACAGCATGAGCTGCTACTATGGCAACTACTATGATGGGCTGGGCTATGGCTATGGTGGCCTAGGCTGTGGCTATGGCTGTGGCTATGGTGGCTATGGCTATGGTGGCTATGGTTATGGATGCTGCCGCCCACTCTGCTACAGAAGATACTATTCCTATGGCTTCTACTGAGGCATTTCCTTGGCTGCTGAGCCTATTGGCTGTCACATCCTGTCTCACTGGAATCATCTCCAATTTTCTTCATATGAGAAATGCTTGAATATCTTCAACACTACAAACTATATACCAAATTATCTGAAATAAATGACTGAGATTAGCAACCAGTTTCAGTTCACCTTATTTCTTCATGGTGTAGTAGTTTGAAGAAATGTTTTTTTTCTTTGATCATTATAACACTATGTAAAATGTGATGAAATTTGAATGTCATATTCTATTTAGAAAGTCCATATTATTAAATAAACTATTTCATAAGAAATGTGACTCTGTTGCAACTGTTTTTATTTCCCCATCATTATAAAATGCAATTTGTGTATTTGGATGTGATTTGTGATGTGAGTGGTGTTTTTATAGAAATGGGAGAGAAAGAAGGAGTATGCCATAATTATTTTGGAGTTGTATGTGGTCCAATAATTAACAGTACAAAAATAATTATGTCTAAGTGATCATAAAAATCTGTTTTTATACATGTCTTTCATTTCTCCTAAAATAATCCTTTGTTTATAAGTTTTTTAAATGGTATTTAATACAATGATGGATGTGTATAACATAAGATCATTTGAAACTTTTTGCATTTAATGTTTTGAGTCATTTGCACTACTGGTTGGATTTTATCATCTACAGCTCTGCCTTTGTGAAAAGTACCTCAAATTAATCGTGTGTGTGTCTGTGTGTGTGTGTGTGTGTGTGCTTGTGAGTACAGTTAAGGATAGATATATGTATGTAAATAAGTCTATATAAATATCTCTATCAATATTTATCTCTGTATTTATTTCTATACCCATATCTTTAACTGTATCTCCATGTCCTCTCTAAACAATGACTAAGGAATCATTTTCAAAATGTGTACATTAATAGAGATATTATGGATTATCATTATGGCAACTAGATAGTTTTTCAACACATATAAATCTATTCTCTTTATAAGATATTAGCTACTGTATATCAAGATAAATTTATCAAAAACAGGAGCTATTTTCTAAGTATCAAATTAGCATTAGGTTATTTTCTTTTTCACCCCAAAATCTGGTCTTCATCAAATATATATGACTTCACAGTATAATTATTCTCCAGAATCAAATCCTTTTTACTTCTTAAGTTAGTTATGCTTCACTTGGAAAACAGACTGACAGCATTAAGTACAAGAAAACGCTGATGGAAGAAGTAATAAAAAAAAAAGGGGTGAATATTCTGAAAATGGAGAAAATGGGATGAAAATGAAAGTTCTAGAAACCAGTCGAGGTGGTACTGGGACAAAGCTTAACCAGCTAAATTCTGAGTCTACTTTTAATATTTCAGGGCTCGTAAACCATAGTTGGAGACATACAAAGACACAATCTGACAAGAATGCAGTGGGAGAATACTGACTAAAATAGAGCCAGGTTTCTCCTTGACATATTTTAGAAACTATAAGTCACAGGGGTCCCTTTCCTAAGCAAAATCATTTCAAATGAGATCTAAAAAATATAGAGAACTGTATTCATAACAACATGATGAGAAAATCATCACTAGAATTAAAAAAGAATATCCTTAACAGAGGAGACAAATGAGCATTCACCACAGACTAGACCAATTGAGGTAAGTGGATCTTAAAATTTAGAGCCTTACTTTTTGCATTAATCCTTGTTTAAATTGGGCCAGTCAGACCATTTCTTTTTTTTTCTCTTTTTTTTATTGGTCATTCAAAACATTACATAGTTCTTAATATATCATATTTCACAGTTTGATTCAAGTGGGTTATGAACTCCCAATTTTACCCCTTATACAGATTGCTGTATCACATCAGTTACCCTTCCATTGATTGACATATTGCCATTCTAGTGACTGATGTATTCTGCTGTCAGTCCTATTCTCTACTATCCCTCCTCCCCTCCCCTCCCCTCCCCTTTTCTCTCTCTACTCCCTCTACCATAAATCATTTCTTCCACTTGTATTATCTTGTCTTACCCCTCCTTTCTTTATCTTTTTCTTTTTTTTTTGAGAGATAGAGAGAGAGAAAATTTTTTAATATTTACTTTTTAGTTTTCGGCATACACAGGATTTTTATTTGTATATGGTGCTGAGGATTGAACCCAGCACCCCACGCATGCCAGGAGACCGTGCTAGCGCTTGAGCCACATCCCCAGCCCTGACCATTTCTAATAGTCCAAGGGGAATGACTACAGGTTGAACTTATGGACTCCCTCAGGAATATTCAAAAAAGGCAACAGATAACATCAACCACATATCAAAATTTGTAGTAAAATAGGAGAAATGAATCCAAGAATCAAATTAAATTTCTAGTTCTCTTTTTAAAAAAAAAATAAATGATATGAAAAATTATTAAACAATTTAGCTTCAGAAAAGCAATGTAATAATAAATACATTAATCCTGCTTAACAAGTTAAACTTATTATAGAATCCCCCCAAAAAAGTCAAGATACTTTCTATCTTTCTGTTGTTGTTGTTGTTTATTTGTATTTGCAACACACAACATAATGGCTTAAAAATTTTCAGCACATGGTCTATGACAAAAGAATGTCAATAGGTAGCTAAAAAAGGCTACCAGACACCCATGCATTTCTCTCCAAAGTTACATATGTTCTGAACAAGAATCCTGGACAAAAGCAGGCTTTCATCATGCCTAGGTACCTGTGACTATTTTAGTATTCACTAACAGTAAGGAGCAGAAATGGCAGGATATCTCCAGTCAGCATACATTTGGGATCAGCTACTATAGAATCAAATGGAAGCTCCTTCCTTCTTTACCAATTCCTCCAATTAGTGCATAAAGTATATTGGGACAAAAATTAGATTTATCTCTGTCTCAGGTGTTGAGTTATCCTCTTCTAATAGGTCTTGTTGATTTTATGTGAATGAAATTTTAATGAGTTTAATTAACTATTAATAACCAAACAACAAAAAATAACTTTGCAAGTCTGAATATACTTGTTTCCACCAATTCTATATCATCAAATCAAAATTGAGAAAGCAAAGAAGGAGTGCATGGCTCATTTGGTCCCTCTGATCGATCCACGCACATTTTTGAGGAGTGGGGTACCAGGGATTGAATTAAGGTCACTCCACCACTGAACCACAACCCCAGCCCTGAACAATGCCGTTCCTGCACCTGCAAGGCATTGGAAAGAGTGAATGTGATAGTTACTATAAAAAAGTAAGAGCTGAGGGTGGAACACTCAACTTTATCTTACACTGTTTTCATTTGCGTCTATAAAATTCATTTGGGATGAAAAAGGGAACCATGGAGCAAATGTGTTTTATAACTGGAAAATGAACATGTTTTTTATGGAAAGTTTAAAATATAAGTTAAGGATAATTCCAAAATTGAAAAGAAAGAGAAGAGAGGAAAAGAAAGAGTGAAGGAAGGAAGACTTTCTTATACTTAAGAATGGAAACAATACACAACAAAAATTAAAGTGAAATACGTATTTTCATAGCTTACATGTCCTATGTAATCATATCATGGGTGTTCAATTTACAATATGTAGAATGATATTTGGCATTCAAAACAGAACAGGAATCTCATCTTAAAGATCCATGAACGCTTCAGGGAATCCTGACATAGGAACAAAATCATCTCAGTTATGAGGCTTGTTTTGCAATAAATAGATATTCATGACCTTGTAGAGGCACATGAGTGAGATAATATGACCATGCACTGCCTGTGGTTTTCCCCACGCAGCACCCACGGTATATAAAAGGCAGGTGGCAGACAGTGACATCCAGACTCAAGACACCTGCATCCTGATCCTGAACTAAAAGTTCCACTTCTGACAACATGAGCTGCTACTATGGCAACTACTATAGTGGGCTGGGCTATGGCTATGGTGGCCTAGGCTGTGGCTATGGCTGTGGCTATGGTTGTTATGGCTATGGTGGCTATGGTTATGGATGCTGCCGCCCACTCTGCTACAGAAGATACTATTCCTATGGCTTCTACTGAGGCTTTTCCTCAGCTCCTGAGCCTATTGGCTGTCACATCCTGTCTTACTTGAATCATCTCCAACTTTCTTCACATGAAAAATGTTAAATGTCTTCAACATACCAACTGTCCACCAAACTGTCTGATAAAAATGAATGAAATCAGCTACCTGTTTTGATTCATTCTTATCTCTTGGACTGAATGATAGTTTGGAGAAAATTTTTTTAATAATTATAACACTGCAAAAAATGTGGTTGAATTTGATTGTCAACTTCTATGCAAACATCCATATTATTAAATAAACTGTATTTCATTGGAAATATTGTTACAATTGTTTTCATTTGTCCCCATCAGTGAAGCATGTCCATTTGTATATTTGGATGTGATTAATCATGTGTGGGGGTTTTATAGAAATGGGAGAGAAAGAGTATGCCTGAACTCTTCTGTGGTCATTATGAATCCCAAAATTAATAGTATAAATAAGTCTTTTCTAAGAGATCATACAGAATTTCTTTTTATATATGTCTTTTTATCACTCCTAAAATTACCCTTCTTTGTAAAGTTTTCTGAACGGCCTTTTTCTATACAATAGTGTATGTACACAACATGAGATCATTTTAACATCTTTCTGTTTGATGTTTCATTTCACTTGTACCACCAGTGGTTGTAATATATCATCTATACATCTGTCTTTGTGAAAGTATCTCAAATTAATTGTTTATGTGTTTGCATTGAGAGATAAATATGTATGAGATATATAAATTTCTCTATATAGATATGTATATGTACATATGTAGACATCTATATCTATCTCTGTATTGATATTGATATCTATGTTTGTATCTGTATCTATATCTCCTCCCTAAAAGATGACTGAAAACTTTATCATATTGAAAATATGTGCACTAATAATGGCATTATGGATTATCACCATGACAACTAAATTGTACTTCAAAACATATAAACTTATTTTTGTATTTAGGAAAAATTAGCAAGTACGTATAGCAAGATAATTTATCAAAACCATGAGCTACTTTCCAAGTATCAAAACAGCTTTAGGGTATTTTATTTTTCATCTCAAAAATGTGGTCTTATCCAATGTACACAGCTACATAGGCTAATTTACTTTATAATCAAATTCTTTGGTTATGTTTCACTTGGGAAACAGACTGACAGCATTAAATGGAACGGCTGGTGGGTGGGTAAAGTAAGAAATAATGGGGTGAATATTCTGAGGAGAGAGAAATTTGGTGAAAATGAGAAGTTGGCAGGCCTAGGAGCCAGGTAAGATGGTGCCGTGACAGAGAGTAGCAGAATCAAAGTCCACTCGTAATTTTTCAAGCCTGGTAAACCATATTTTCAGACATACAAAGACACAATCTGACAGAATGTGCTGGAAAAATACTGACTAGAGCCAGGTTTCTCCTTGAGATATTTTAGAAATTGGAAGTCACAGGGCTCCATTTCCTAAGACACAAAACTGAATCATTTCAAATGAGATTGAAAGATAATAAAAACTGTGTTTGTACCAAGACAATGATAATATCATCACTAGAAGATTAACAGAAGATTAAAATGTTTAACAGAAGGATACAAAAGGCATCATTTATAGACAAGACCAAAAGAAGTAAGTGGACCCTAACCAAAATTCAGAGCCTAATTTTACATCAGTCCTTGTTTGAATTGGGCCAGTCACACATTTTCTAATAGTCCAAGAGCAATACCAGTAACAGCAACACTAGTTTAAAAAGTAAAATATAGTATCGCTCTGGATCCTCTAAAATTTTCATAGAAAATGTTGAACTTATGGACTCTGTTGGAAATGTGCAAAAGAGGCAAGAGATAACATCAGCCATAACTGGAACTTGTACCAAAACTGGAAAAATGAACCAATCATCAAATTAAAATTGAAGTTCTTTTTCTAAAAAGCAAATTAATAATATAGTAATTTATATAACAAAATTTCCTTTAGAAAAAGATTGTAATATGCCTATTACTAAATGCATCAATCCTGCTTAAGAAACTTGATTTAGTGGTCAGTTTCAAAAAATAAAATATTTGCTATCTTTTTTTGGCAACACACAATACAATGACTTAAAATTTATTGGCATATGGTTTATGAAAAATAAATATCAATTGGTAGGTGAAAGACACAAGCAGATCTATGTGAATTTCTCTCAGAAGTCTCAAGGATCTACACGAGAAGCTTGGAAAAAGCAGGTTTTCATCATGTGTATGTTCCTGTGACTCTTTTCAGTGCTCAGTGACAGCAAGGAGAACAACTGGTGAGAGTTGTGAGTCAGAGGACTTTGAGATCAAAAAAATTAAAATCAGACTGAAGTCTCCTTACCAGTTCCTTCAATGTCTGCATTAAGACTGGTGGAACATAATTTAGATTTGTCTCTGACTAGCTAAGGTGTTGATCTATCTTCTTATAATAGGTTTAGTTTATTTGTTATTAATTGAATTTTAATAAATTTGTAAATTACTGATAACGAAACAAAAAAAAATTGTTCCATGACTGATTATCCTTGTTTATACCAATATTTAACCATCAGCTAAAATTTGAGGAAGCAAAGAAAGAGCTCATGGTTCATTTGGTTCCTCTGTTCTATCCATGCACTTTTACAGAAACATGACATTCCCACATCTGCATGGCATTTTAAAGAGTAAATGTGACAACTATTATAAAATATGAAGAATTGAGATTATAGCATCCAACTTACCTTAGGGTGCTTTAGCATTTGTAACATTCGTGGTGGATGAAAAAGGGAATCATGGAGAAAATGTGGTTTCTAAATAAAACATGAACATGTGTTTTTTGAAAGTTGGAAATATAAATTAAGAATAAGTTCACAAGAAAAAAATGAAAAGAAAGTAGGAAGGAAGGAAGGAAGGAAGGAAGGAAGGAAGGAAGGAAGGAAGGAAGGAAGGAAGGAAGGAAATTCTTCTATTAAGAATGGATGAAACAAAACAATAATCCGAGTGAAATACCTACTTTCATAATTTACACAGTATTACATAATAATATCATAGGTACACAATTAACAATACACAAAAAGAGACAAGTATTCAAAATAGACTAAGAATTTCATTTTAAAGGCCCATAAATGAATTGCAGAATCCTGACGTAGGAGCAAAATTATCTCAGTTATGAGGCTTGTTTTGCAATAAGTAAAGATATTCATGATGTTGTCTGAGGCAAATGAGTGAGATAATGTGACCATGCACTGCCTGTGGTTTTCCCCACCCAGCACCCATGGCATATAAAAGGCAGGTGGCAGACAGTGATATCCAGAATCAAGACACCTACATCCTGATCCTGAACTGAACACTCCACTCCTAACAACATGAGCTGCTACTATGGCAACTACTATGGTGGACTGGGCTGTGGCTATGGTGGCCTAGGCTGTGGCTATGGCTGTGGCTATGGTGGCCTAGGCTATGGCTATGGTGGCTATGGTGGTTATGGTGGCTATGGTTATGGATGCTGCCGCCCACTCTGCGACAGAAGATGCTGGTCCTATGGCTTCTACTGAGGCATTTCCTCAGCTGCTGAGCCTACTGGCTGTCACATCCTGTCTTACTGGAATCATCTCCAACTTTCTTCACATGAAAAATATTAAATGTCTTCAAAAATACCAACTCCAAACTCTCAGAAAAATGAATGAAATCAGCACACCTGTTTTAATTCATCCTTAACTTTTGATTGTGTAATTGTTAAAGAAACGTTTTCATTTAATAATTACCTTTATAACACTATGAAAATTGTGATCAGATTTGAATCTCAATATGTAAACAATACATATTATAAAATAAATTGTATTTCACTGGAAACATTGCTGTCTTACAATTCTATTGAAATGTGTCCATTTATGTGTGTGTGTGTGTGTGTGTATTGGTACATGTGCTTGTGAGTAGTCTTATGTGTTGTTCATAGAAATGGTAGAGAGAGAGACAGAGAGAGAGAGAGAGAGAGACAAAGAGTGAAGGAGAATCTTAGAGTTACTTTGTGGTCATTAGGAGTTTAAATTAATGTACAAATAATAAGTCTTTCAGGAATCATACAAATTCTATTTTATTTATCTTTTCATGTCTTCTAAAATTACCCTTTGATTGTAAGCTTTTTAAAATGGATATAATATATGATAGTTTTTATACAACATGAGATCATTTAAAAATCTTTGTATTTACAGATTGGTGTCATTTGCACATCAGTGGTGAGAATATATCATCTATAGCTCAGCCTCAGTGAAAGTATCTCAAATTAAATGTGTGTATACAATGGCACATAGATGTTTAGATGGGTGTATTTATATGTATAGATATGTGTATGTACACATGTATACATTAGTATATATGAACATCTATCTCTTTTGATATCTTGATATCTGTATCTGTATCTGTAACTACAGCTCCTCCCTAAAAAATAACTGCAGACTTTATCATATTGAAAATGTGTATAATAAAATGACATAATGTATTATCATCATGGCAACTCGATAGTATTTCAAAATAAATAATTTCAAAATAAATAATAATTTCTTCTCTTTAGGAAAAATTGGGTACCATGAATAGTAAGATAAAGTAATCAAACCATGAGCTGTTTCCTCAGTATCAAATTAGCAGTAGTTTATTTTCATTTTTATTCCACAATGAGTGAGTCTTCATCAAATGAACATGACTCCATATGCTAATTTTCTCAGAATCAAATTCTTTGCACACTTAAAGCCATTATGTTTCACTTGGGAAACAAACTGACAGAATTAAGTGCAAGGAAATGCTAGTGGGGAAACAAGGAATAAGGGGAGAACATTCTAAGGATGGAGAATATGAGTGAAGGGGTGAAACTGGCCATTCTAGGAGCCAGACAGGATGGTGTGGTGATACAGAGTGACCAGCACAATTTTGAGTCCATTAATTTTTCAGGACTGACAAACCATAGTTGGAAACATACAAAGACGGAGTCTAACAAGAATGTGCTTGAAGAATACTGACCTTAACAGAGCCAGGTTTGTCCTTGCGATATTGTAGAAATTGGAAGTCACGAGGGGCCATTTCCTAAGACACAAAGCAGAGTCATTTCAAATGAGATTAAAAAACAATAAAAACCGTGTTCCTATCAAGGTGATGAGAAAATCATCACTAATTAAGAAGAACCATTTTTATCGGAGGAGACAAAAGAGCATCCACTGCAGTCTAGACCAAAAGAGGTAAATGGACCCTAACCAATATCCAGAGCTTAATTTTGCATTAATCCTTGTTTTAATTGGATCACTCAGACATTTTCTAACAGTTCAAGAACAGTGGCAACAATACAATTCTCTAAGGTGAAATATAATATTGTTCTGAATCTTCTAGGATTTTAATAGACAAGTTTGAACTCATGGACTCCCATGGAAATATGCACAAAAGCAACAGATAATAAAAGCCACATATTGGAACTTGTAATAAACTTGTATAAATGTACCAGGAATTAAATTAAAATTCTAGTTTGCTTTTAAAAAGGCAAATGAATGAAACAGTAAATTATTTCACAAATTTAGCTTCAGTGAAGCAATATAATATAACTAATACTAAATATACTAAACCTGCTGAATAAACATGATTTATAGTCCAATTTTAAAAGGAAGAAAACTTGAATTCTTGTCTTGTTTTTTGTAACACACAATACAAAATAATACTGAAAGTATTATTGGCACATTGTCAATGAAAAATAAACGTCAATGGGTAGCTGAAAGAAGCCAGCAGACCTATGAATTTCTCTCAGAAGTCACAAGTGATTTGAATGAGAACCTGAGGATGAGGGAAAGCAAGTTTTTGTCATATCTATGCACCTGTGCAAATTTTCAGGGTGCAGTGATAGCAAGGAGCAGAACTAGTGGAATTTGTGAGTCAGAGGACTTTTGGGTTCAGCAAATATAAAATCAGAGTGGAAGCTCCTTCCTTCTTACCAATTCTCCAACTGATAAAGATGGTTCTTCTTAATTCTAGTGATGATTTTCTCATCACCTTGATAGGAACACCATTTTTATTATTTTTTAATCTCATTTGAAAGGATTCTGCTTTGTGTCTTAGGAAATGGCCCCCTGTAACTTCCAAGAATGATGGAACATGATTTAGACGTTTCTATGTCTCAGATGTTGAGCTATCCTCTTATAACAGGTCTAATTTATTTTATGTAAATTGAACTTTATAGAATAATTAACTATTGATATTCAAGCAAAAACATCTTTACAAGAGTGAGTATCTTGTTTCCACCAATACTTCATCATAAACTAAAAACTGAGGAAGCAAATACGGAGTACATGGCTCATTGGGGCCCTCTGTTCTGTCCATGTACTTTTTTAAAGATATTTTTAGATTGTAGATGGACTTTCATTTTATTAATTTATTTATATGTGATGCTGAGAATCAAACCCAGTGCATCAAACATGCTAAGCAAGCTCTCTACCACGGAGTCACATCTCCAGCCCTATCCATGCACTTTTTAAAAGACATGCCAATCCTGTTCCTCCATGGTATTTCAAAGAATGAATGTGACAAAACACTAAGAGTTGAGGGTGGAGCACCAAATTTTACTTTTCAGTGCTTTACTCTTATATCTGTTATCATCATTTGGGATGAAAAAGGGAACCATGGAGCAAATGTGGTTTATAACTGGAATATTAACATGTGTTTTCTAGAAAGCTTGAGATATAAATTTAAAAAATTTCAAAGAAGAAGAGAAAAGAAAGAGAAGAGAGGAATCAAAGGAAGGAAGGAAGGAAGGAAGGTAGGCAGGGAGGAAGGAAGGAAGGAAAACCTCATCTTCTATTCAAGAATGGAAACAAAACAAAAATCAAATTGAAATATCTGTTTTCATAACTTACATGGTCCTCTATAATCATATCATAGGTATTCAATTAACTATATATAGAACAACATTTGGAATTCAAAATAGAACAGGAATTTCATCTTAAAAAGTCCATGAATAGATCATGGAATCTTGACATAGGAACAAAATTATTTCAGTTATGAGGTTTGTTTTTGCAATAAATCAAGATACCCATGACGTTGTCTGAGGCACATGAGTGAGATAATGTGACCATGCACTGTCTGTGGTCTTCCCCACGAGCACCCATGGCATATAAAAGGCAGGTGGCAGACAGTGACATCCAGACTCAAGACACCTACATCCTGATCCTGAACTGAACACTCCACTCCTGACAGCATGAGCTGCTACTATGGCAACTACTATGGTGGGCTGGGCTATGGCTATGGTGGCCTAGGCTGTGGATATGGCTGTGGCTATGGTGGCTATGGCTGTGGCTATGGCTGTGGCTATGGCTATGGTGGCTATGGTGGCTATGGTGGCTATGGTTATGGATGCTGCCGCCCACTCTGCTACAGAAGATACTATTCCTATGGCTTCTAC